CAATTATTTGATAATAATTACTATTATTGTTGTTATAGCATTAGAATAGTATCATTACTATGATTATTATCATTATTGCGATGATTCTTATTATCACCATTGAGGAGTATGTTGGTCAGACTCCCACCACAAAAAATAAAGACAATAACAAGAAGAACAACAATATCTACCTAACGACCCACAAAAAATATTCAGCGAGTATAAACATCAACCCGGCCGGTATGCATAGCCGAGGTGGCAGCGCCATAACTCTACGGGAACACGACGCCAGATTTCAGTACTGACATTCGATCTTTTTCTCCCCTCCCGTCTGTTGACAATAACAGAGTGTTGTTTTGTGTTTACTTACAGATGTCATGACGTACCAGGACTACGAGAGTATAGACAGGAAAGGGCCCGGACGTGGAGGAACAAATATTGAGAGTGTACCGTCAGTACGCACTCTACCCCACACGGTAAGTCACACCAGGAAAAAAAAAAGTTTTTTTGTTTCCAAAAATTACTGATATAAGACTTTCTAGCTGTTGTAAATAAGATATAAGTGTTATATTATATATATGTTGCTTACTCATAACTTCTTTTACTTCATTTTGTAATTTTAGCTTCCACGTTTCACTCCTTAGATATTAGGAAGAGAATGCGTTAACATTCAAAAGAATTAAGTAAAAATGCTTCGTATATAGTACTATATTCATATGAATGCACACATACACACAGGAGCACAACCACTAACCAACACACCACAATACACACACACACACAGACACACACACGACGCACACACACACACACACACACACACACACACACACACACACACACACACACACACACACACACACAACACACACAACACACACACATATATATATAACAACAAACACACATATATATATATATATATATATATGTATATATATATATATATATATATATATATATATATATATATATATATATACTATAATAGTATATATATATATATATATATATATATATATGTATATATATATATATATATATATATTCCTATCGGTTCCTAAGTGGAAATACATTTACAAATTTGTATATATACTATATACGTCCGTTTATACAGGAAATCCGTATTTGTATGTACATAAATGTATGGGAGTACACAAGAGTACTTATTCTGACACATTTCAATTGAACTCTTTTGCTTCTTTGTTTGTTCTGGCCACATCAGTCACAAGATCACAAGCTAGGGGATCCCATGCCACTCCCGAGCAGGTCATAGACACTTCAATCCCACAGACACCCGGCCTTCAGCTTACCAACACCTTATGTTAGTCACCTGGAGTTCCTTATCTCTCTTTTTATCCACCTCCTCTCTCCCCACCTCATTGAAAAGAAGAGCAACAAATCTTCCCTTTGAAAAATATTCTTTGAAAGAACTGTCTCACTTTTTCAAAAGAAAACATGTATAGCCTTGACAATAAAAATAAAATCCATACATCCCTCACCACCATACCCCCCCCCTCCCCTTTGAGGTTTAGAGAGGCAGAGTGAAGCTTAGAGCTTAGAGTCACCGAGCTCTGCCTCAGATCCGTCCCACAGTCTATCCCCGGACGAAAAGAAGGCAGAAGTCCCATGCATGTCTTATAACCCGAAGGGACGAGCTCCTGTCCTTTTTAAAGTTTTGTGCCGAATCTGCATATTGCTCAACTACTAGATATTTTGCCAGGGTCCTTGGTCAGCGCAGGACCTAAAATCCTGTGGCCTTTTATGGCGTGTGTTTCCCTTCCTCTCCTCTTCCTTCCCTTCCCTCCCTTACTTCTCTGTCCTCATTTACCCTTTCCTTAGCCTGACGTGTTGAGTGGAGAGCGGCAGCGGATTGTCCCTTTATAGCCTGTATGTAGGTTACCTCGTTTTTTTTTCTTTCTTTTCTTTTCTTCTTCTTCCTTTTTTGGGGAATGGGGTATTCGTTTGGTCTTTCTTTGCTTTGAGCTCTCTCTCTCTCTCTCTCTCTCTCTCTCCTCTCTCTCTTCTCTCTGTCTCTGTCTCCTCTGTCTCTCTCTCTCTTTTCTCTCTCTTTCTCCCTCTCTTCTCCCTCCATCTCTATTCCTTCCTCAATCATCAACCAATAGTAAGGGTCCCGCCCCTCCCCAACATCCCCTCCTTCCCCATGCATCCCCCCTCTCCTTTCCCCATCTCCTTTTCCCCCCCCCTACCCCCACCACATCCACCTAACCCCTTCCACCCCAAACTCTCACTCATAGATACACCCACACATTTTTAGTACGAAGGAGCTTGTGCCTTCCCCAGAATGAAATTTTAATGTCAGAATCCCCCCTCTGAGATTAGCCTCAATTCATCCCTATCACTGATGCGATTCCACTGATAAAAGATCAATTAATTCCACCGCAGGCGGCACAGCAATCATCATTTTACACTCCAGGTTAGTCTACGAAATAAAGAAGGAATTGCAAGCGGTCACAGCATGCACCACTCCCCAAGCATGGGACACAGAGTCAAAGCATGAGAACTTTTAGCTTTAGTTCACTCATCGACTAGACTCTTGTAGAATGTAGCATGAACCCCAGACACGAAGTAAGACAGTACACCAGGGGGGAAAGATGCATCTTGGAGTTTTATTTCCATGATCAAAATAACTTAAAAGACTAATAACAATAACGAATCTTTTCTGCTGTCGAGATGAATTTTGGAATCTGTGTAAAGTCTCATTCAAAGATTTTAGTGCAAGGCCCGTCTAGCCCAAGACTTTTTTGAAGTATTCTTTATATCTATTCATTTAATTATTTTAACACGCAGTTTCATTTATCAGGACCTTTGTCCTCACACGAAGCTAGCATGTGCATGCCGTACTTATGGTCACTCTCAGTCACAATAATAACTCTCCTATTCCACACTATTCACTGGCATATTTTCTTAACTAAACCATTTTCTTGTCCTCTTGGTGTAAGATATTGAATAACCTTTGGACTCCACTTGCCAAAAACGCCCCAAACCGGTGAAGCATGTGTTCAGTGACACTCTAGACTCCCTCCTGAATTTGCATATCCTCTCCTGAAGTGCTTAAGGTTCCCCCTGACAACTGTTCATATTTTTGTTCTCGTGTAATCAGATCGAGAGTTTGCATTACACTCTCTGTGCAGTTCATTTTCCAATAGTCAGTGGCTGCTGTTTGAACACGTTCGCTTTGTAAAACGACCGTCAGTGTCATCTTTCTGAATCAAAGGAAACTTCTTGTTTGGTCAGTGTCCTTGCTCATGAGACTTGATAGAGACGAACACCCGTTTCGGTAGAGCCTTCCGGCGCCGCGGCCGCCCCTAACCCCTGCCTCTGTCTTCTGCAGCATAACCAGAGCCTCCCGACCAATAGGGCGTCCTACCGCCGCCGACCTGCCCCTCCCGACCCCACCCAGCCAGGCTACCAGGTCAGCGCCACCGACACTGTGCCTCTTCGTCGCCCAGACGAGGAGCGCCTATACCAGCCCCTGCCCAACCGAGGACCCCGCCGCGCCCGCCGCCCGCGCCGCCCCCGGGCCCCACCAGCCCCGCGGCCAGCCCGGACGACGGCCACATCTACGCCGCCGCCGTGGCCCCGGTGGCGCGCGCGGCGGCCCGCCCGGCGTCCGCGCACAATCTACGCCGCGGTGGACGCGTCCCCGCGCCGCGCCGGTCGGACGCGCCTCGCCGCAGCACGCCCCTCCCCGCGCCCTCGAAGCTCGCCGCCCGCGGGTCGGACGAGCGCCCTCGACCTCCCGCCAGCGCACACCTCCACGCCTCTTCTCCCCCGCCCCCAGGAGACAGCGCCGCCCACCTCGCAAGGGGCGGCAGTGGCGCGCCCGCCGCCTTTGCACCCAACAACATCTACGCTACGATAGACGGCCCCGCAAGCCCCCGCGGCGCCCGGAGCGAGCCCCCGCCGCCATTGCCTACGTCACGCTGGGCAGCCGAGTCACGCGAGGTCGCCGCTCGACTTCCGAGACCACCACAAGGACGTCGGTCCGGGCCGCCCGACCGTCATCCGGACGCCCCAACGAGAGTGCTGTGTGAACTCTCTCTCTTTCTCTTTCTTCTTCTATTCTCTCTCTCTCTCTCTCTCTCCCTCCCTCCCTCCCTCTCCTCCTCTCTCTCTCTCTCTTCTCTCTCTCTCTCTCTCTCTCTCTCTCTCTCTCTCCTCTCTCTCTCTCTCTCTCTCTCTCTCTCTCTCTCTCTCTCTCTCTCCCTCTCCCTCCCTCCTTCCCTCCCTCCCTCTCCTCTCTCTCTCTCTATGCCTCCGTCAATGTATCTCTTAGTTGCCACTTCTCAACTGACGTGTCTGTGGACGTCCGAGCCGCCCGAGGAAGCGGAGAGGACGCTCGCCTCCTCCGCTCGCCTCCTCCGGCCGAGGCTCAGACCGGTCGACTCATCTGCTTCGAAGGACTGGTTCAGTTTCGTGCTGACTGGAATGAAACCGTTCTGCAGAAAGCTTTAATGTATCTATAAGTGGACTCGTAAGCATGTGAGATCTCTGCTGTACCTTTTTTTTTTCCTTTCCCACCCTCTTTCTCTCTCTCTCTCTCTGTCTTTCTTTTTTTTTTCTTCTTTCCCTTTCTTTGTCAATTCACGTGCACCTCCTCCTTTGATTTCCAAACCGGAACCGACTTCTTCTTTTTTTTTAGACATAACGATACCATATAGGCAATCGCGAGCGTTATATTCGAGATGTACATTATATATAAATATATAAATATATATGACGGGATGCTGTATTGTTAGAGACCGGCTGATACACACGCTACCCTTCTGGCGGCGTCTCTCCCGTTGCTATGGTAACATCTCCTCGTTTTAATGAGGAGTAATATTCTCTCATGTTTGGAGGCTTCCATGTAAATATTAGTCGAGGTTTTATATGTAGCATTATCTAGGTAAGGTTTTACTTTTAGACGTAGTGGTTGCATACTAGGAGACTGTTTGATTGGAGTTCTATGGATGTGTCATTGTTGAATAAAAATGATAATGATAATGATGGTAATGTTGATAATGATGATGATGATAATAATGATAATGGTAATAGCAGTGATAATAATAATAATAATAATGATAATGATAAGGGAAAATGTTGAAAAAAATTATTCTCCTTTCTTAATATCACTACTGAAAAAAGGATCTTCTAAGTGACATTTCTTTTTTTTCTTTTTTATCTATTTGGTCTTTTTTTTATTACGCAAACATGATAAAGACGATTGGCTGGAACATCCTATATATTTTTTTATGTATATAAATCATGAACATGTAGCAGTTCTTATGATCTGCAAAACATGATCTTAATAATTAATTTTCTTTATTTCATATTATTAATTTTTCATCTATTCATTATTTATTATTAATCTTTGAATCGCCGAATTAGCAAAATTTATTCTTCTTTTCCTTTTCCTTCGGAGACAAACGTTCACATAGCGTGAGAAGAAACGTTTTTCCCTTTTCCTTCCTCATTTGTTGTAACGTTCTGTAAACGTTCATTTTAGAGGGGGCGCTTTTACACTTGTATATAATAACATAAATAAGCCTCTCTCTCATTCCCTTCTTTGTTAAAAAAAAAGAAAAAAAAGAAAAAAGAAAAATGTTTTATAGTCTGAGGATTTATCACTGAGCGTTCATACTTGGGAAATCTATTGTGAAATTATTTGTATATTGTAAATATCACTTTCAACCAAGGTCTCAATGGCTTTTGTTGGGAAGAAAAAATTAGGTTAAGTTTTTTTTTTTTTATGGCGTATAAACAAGGGAGAGAAAAAATGAAAGAAGGAAATGCTTCTGTATATATATCAATTTCCTCCTCCATTTTATCCTTCTTTTCCTCCTCCTCTCCTCCCCCCCCTCCGTTCTCTCTCTCTCTCTCTGTCTGTCTCTGTCTGTCTCTTTCTCTCTCTCTCTCTCTCTCTCTCTCTCTCTTCTCTTCTCCCTCTCTCTCTCTCTCTCTCTCTCTCTCTCTCTCTCTCACACACACACACACACACACACACACACACAACCACACACACACACACACACACACACACACACACACACACACACGCACACGCACACACACGCACGCACACAGACACTCGCTTACACACTTCTAAAAGCAAACACTCTCCACTCCGAATAGTCCCCGAAAGCTAATAGATGAATTATGTAGCACTTTTGGTTCAGGGAATTGAGTTTCAAAAAATGGAAGTAATAATATCCCCATATTTACTTTTGTCTTTATTTTCTTTGCTGCTTCTACGTCTTCCTCTTCTTATTCTCATTCATATTACGTTTCTTTTTTTTTCCTTGCCCCTTCTGATTCTCCTTTTATTTTTATCTTCCTTTTTCTTTTATTCATCCCTTTATCTTCGCCTTCCCACTCCTTGCCTCCCCTCCCCCTCCCTCCCTCCCCCTTCCAGAGCTAGCCCTGTTCTTTATCCTACTTCCTCTTCCCATTTTCCACTCTCTCCTACCTATTTAGCCCCATCCTCCTATACATATATTTTTTTTTTTACCTACCTCCTACTTCCTTTATCCCCCTCCCTCCTATTCCCTTACATTCCCTCCGCCTTCTAACTACCTCAGTCTTGACCCCTTTACTGATCTCCATCCTGTTTCTTCAACTTTTTCCCCATTTCCTGTCCTTTACTCCTTCCTCCTCTTATCCCTTTCCCTACTAAGTCTTGAAATTTTCCTTTTATTACGTCCCTTGTGCCCTACCCCCCCTACCCTCTAACCCTTCACCCCAACCCATAACACTCCCCTCCCCTTCACCCTACCCCTCTACCCCTCCCCCTTTACTTATTACCCCTTTCTTCCTCTCCATTTCCCCCCTCCCTCTCCCTCCTCCTTCCCCTTACACCCTCTCTCCTCTAACCTATCCCCTCTCCCCTCCCCCCTTCACCACCCCCTCTCCTAGGTCCAGATCCTTTGATACGTTACAACTAAACGTTTAAAAACAGGAAAGCATAAAAACGTTGATTCTACCACTCAGCCTATTATATGATATATCATTTATCTGTTATTATTATTATATTGTTATGATAACTTCTATCCATTCCTTTTCTACTTTCAAATTCAGTGTCTGTCTTATGATTATTATATCTTTCATTATAAACATTATTATCAATACTATTTCGAGTTTTTTATCTTTGTTCTTGTTCTTTGCCTAATAATGGTCATATTTTTGTTGTCATTATCATAACAAACAATTTTGTTATCCTTATTATCATTCTTATTATTTGTTATGTTGTATTTGTCATTCCTTTTACTATTACTATTCTTATCATTATTATTATTTTATATATTCATTATTACTGCTTTCATTATTGTCCTTAATATTGCTGTTGTTACTTTTATTACTGTCACTACTATGATCATTACTTTTGTCATTATCATTATAACTATTAGGAATGTTATTATCATCATTATTATTATTACTAGTATTATAATTGTTATTATACTCATTATTGTCAATATCGTTATTTTCGTTATCATTATTGTTATTATTATTATTATTATTATTATAATTATTATTGTTTTTAATAATATTATATCTACATCATTTCTATTATTATTTTCATTATTTCTATAATCTTTATCATTACTATCATACTTGTTATTATGTTCTTTAATTTTTTTTATCTTCATTATTATTGTTGTCACCATTACCTTTATTATTATTACCATTATTTTAACTATCATTATCATTACTATTATCATTATTATCAATGTTATTAATACTATTATCATTATTATTATTGTCATATTTGTTATTATTATTATCATCATTGCTATTGTTACCAATCCAATGATGAATATTATCATAACAATTAATATAATTGATAATGTAAAGATTAACACAATTCAGTACTGTTGTTGTTTTTTTTCATTTTCTTTAATTTCTCTGTATATAAGTGTGTCTGAGGTTACAAGCTTTCTTATTGCCATGTGCTGTTCCGTCTCTCAGACTGAGTGGTGTCCAAACCTGTGTCCAGATACAGAAGGAGACGTGTCCAAAAATATATAAAAAATAATAAAAAAAAAAGATTCTTTGACTGTTTCATGTTTGATTGGTGTCTTTTCTTTTTAATGACCCGGCGCCCTTGGTACGTCTGAGAGGGTGTGTAATATATTTGTTACTTTTTTTTCTTCTTTTATTACTCTGGGGCTGCAGACATGAAAACACGAATGTTGATAATTTAAACACACATACGCACACGCAAACAAACGTATATAAACATACACGCACAAATACACCTCCAGAAACACCTACAAAATAAATCCAGAAACACATACACAAATATACACATAAATATACACTTAGAAACACACACAAATATACACATAAAGATACACTTAAAAACACACACACAAATATACATGTACACAACCATACACATAATTCACACGTAAACACAAACAAACACACGCCATCCATACACATACACACATACCCACATATACCTCTCTACACTTTCTCCCTAAGACACCTGTCCATCCATAAGCTCTCTGTCTGCCCTTATAGAAATTACATCATTGTTACATCTATCGAACAACCCATCTATCACACTGAAGACAGCCATTATGAACACGGGCGTTGGCATCCAATCCTTATTTACCCACGACAGAGGATAGGATCCACCTATTTTGAATATTTCCTATATAGATTCGATTTCGTATATTTGTATGTATTATAGTACTTTAACAAGGGATAAGTATAGATTGAGGGTTACCTTTGCATTCTGTTGTTTTTCTTTATTTTTTTCTCTAAGATTTACTTTTATCTTCATTGTCTTTCTTCGCTTTGTAAACGAAAGGATTGTAAATATTAGATTAATACATTATCTGGAGTTTTCCTTCGTTTTTTTTTTTTTTTTTTTTTTTGAGTGGTTCTTTTCAGTAATTATTTTCACTCTCTCTCTCTCTCTCTCTCTCTCTCTCTCTCTCTCTCTCTCTCTCTCTCTCTCTCTCTCTCTCTCTCTTCTCTCTTCTCTCTCTCTCTCTCTCTCTACTCATTTTCAGCCTTCTCTCTCTTAGTCAGTCTTTCTCTC